ACGCGAGTAGTACACATTTAAATAAAACACTAACGGTTTGAAACGCGATATATATGAGTCCATTAAAGTATTAGAATATTGTCTCCCCGTGAACACGGCTACTGCAGAGCATGCGAAACGTCGGGCCGTAGTTAAAATAATTTTCAAATGAATTTAACTAATACATTTCGCGTTTTAAACCGTTAAAGTTATTTAAAAGATAAATAATATTCCAAGCTATAAGAAAATGATGAGAAACAATATATTCTTTAAACAATCGATAAGAAAGCTACATCACTACGGGAATCTCCTATCGGGATTTTACGATTGCTCCCTAGGTCGACATAACTATGCATCACAAACGTACGGCATTTAGGAAAATATCTTGGAAATATGCTGCTCTTTTATGACCACTAGGTTTTATTGCCGGAGCGAAGTATTTGTTCCTCGTCTGATTTATACGGTGACAATTTATTTGATCGCTGGAGGAAAACAAACTCGTGAATTCCAAGAGATTTCGATTCGAGAGATTTCAAACATAATTTGAACTTACGAAATAAGGATAACCTAGCTATCCCCAAATATAGTCTCTATAAAATATCTAAATCATTTGTCTAAACGATTTCATTAATGACAAGACCGCCTGGCAGTAATATTAATTGCTCCTTAGGTTAATAAATTCACAATGTATTAGTTTATAAGACAAGTTAAAAAAGGCCACAGACTGAGTTTCTTGGATGTTCTTCTCAGTTATGTCGCTCTGTTGAACACTTTGTAGAATCACGACGAACAGACAGACAAACAAAACATTTTTGACGAATCTAAACAATTTTTTAAAATTTTAAAGAGAATAAAGTATATTTTCAGTTTCAGACAACAATATTCAACGTACATCGGCAGTTTAATTATTACTTATTAAGTTCTAGCATCCACAATTATACATATATAATAAAACAACGACTCTCAGTAATTTAATAACATAAATTTTCAACATTAAATACAGTATTTTAGATAAGCCTTTATTATCAAGAGCGAAATAAACCGAATTGAGATTTGGGAGCAATGAAAACGGAATATTTTCCCAAAAATGAGTCGGAAATCGGAGCGAGGCGGAATTTAATTAAATATTTAATTAATTGATGGCTTTCACAAGGTCTGATCTGTCAACGTCTCTTAAAACTCGCCCGAGTGTTAATAAATAATTAGATTTGATTTATGAGGTAGTATAGAATAGCGAATCGTTATGTAGGCTATGTAAAGGGATTTGTACAACTGTTTGTGTAGAAAAATGTAGAATAACAAACTCTAAATTTAATATTTTTCACATGTTTGAAAACATTAATATTTTTCACATGTTTGAAAACATTAATATTTTTCACATGTTTGCAAACATTAATATTTTTCACAAGTTTGAAAACATTAATATTTTCACATGTTTGAAAACATTAATATTTTTCACATGTTATATGCACATGAAGGTACTATATAATTTAAAAATCGAAAATAAATTGAAAAAATTTTCGACTCGGACAAGACTTGAACCGGCATCGTCAGCTTTCCGTGCTGTTGCTCTACCAATAGAGCTACCGAGTCCTACACCTCATCGTCGAATTTTTTCAACTTATTGATACATGCACCTCTCGCGAATATTTCAGTTTAAACACTAAATACAATTTAGTGTTTAAACTGAAATATTCAAATTATTTATATATGAATTAAACGAAAAAATGCCTTTCTAACAAAATATTTAAACACCATTCAACTTTCATGGGCGAAACTAATACAGCCGGCTCATTCAGGGGGTAATTAAGGTACAAGGGCGCCCGGGGAGCAATTCCACCGTATTTTCAGGAAGTGTCTATTCACATGACCTTTCCGGCGTACTAAAGTATAATTATGTAGAGCCCCTTAATTGTAGTGTAAGACGCCTGTGATAAGCCGCACCGAGCTTGTAGCTTTCTAAATAATTCCTTATAGAAATATAGTAGTGGAATCCCATTTCCCCCTCGCAGGCCATGGGGTGAAACACATTTTTGTGTCCATTTGACTGATCCGTTCTTTAAGAGGCAAATAGGTGATCAGACTTCTGTGCCCTGCCCGCTTCGTAAACCGAATTTTTTGTTTGAAGAGGAGCACATGGGATTAGAGGAAAGTAAATACCCCCTCAGCTTTGGATGTTGAGTAATTCACAGACTGAAACCGAAACGCGATTAAACTTCACGGCTCTTTCTCTGGCCGATGGTTAGAGGCCCGGATGGAACTTCGATATTCCTATCACCCGTTTAACATCCAGATTACTAGACAAAGTCTAAAATGATGTCGATAACACGTTGCTCCTGGAGGTGTTCGAACCCACGGCCCATTAGACCGATGTGCTCGTTGATCAGAATTTGAGATTAACTTCCGTTTTCGTTTTACTTGGTCCAAAGTACCCTCATTTTATTGCGAACCCAGAAAAAGCTGGAGGTTTTATAAACGAACATCGGGACATCTATCTAAATTGAAGTATCTTTCTGATATCTATATAGCGCCTTATCGGAGCCCGCGTACAATAGATTTGTACCCCCGAGGTCCGCGCCACACCCCAAACGGACCTTTTATCAATGTAAAAAGCGTCCCTTTTCGAAATTTTCGCCGTTTCCCTCTCAACTTATATGAACTTATGAAAGGCTTTCCTTGTAAAACGCCATTTTTGGGATATTTCGTATGTAAAATGCAATTTGCGCAAAAATAATGCTGTGCGGGGTGTTTCGGAAAGGTCATTTTATTTTATCCCGCTGGTTACAGTGTTCGGACGGCCATCTATTTTTATCTACTCATAGTGTAGGGAAATACGTTTAACATATCACTTACTGCGGAAGTAAATAAAGATTTTCTTGTTATTTGGTAAAAAAAACAAATCTTTTATAGATTGTTATTTATTGAATAATCCCCCCGTGACCAGACTGCTCCAAAGCACCGGAAACTCGGATCGTAATTAAATAATGTAAACAAGTTAAATAGTATATTTCGCGTTTTAAGCCGTTAAACATTAAAGTGTTACATTTAAATGTAAACCAATTATACCATCTTAGATAGATTTATAATTTATATACATCTATTGGGAACGTTTCAAATATTATCTATGGCTTACGCGCGTTATTGTATGACGCATTTAATAAAACACTAAACGTTAAATTAAATTAAGTAACTACGTTTTCAACAATTGACACTATTTTATTTAAAACGTTCACATTTAAAATTGTAACCTGTTTACTTTCAGAGTAAAAGTCTAATATAAAAATTCAACGCTTCTTAATATATGTGGTTACTTTTTCAGCTGTCATATTGTATCATTCATAATTTATAGAGAATACGCCATACCACCCTTCTTGTCAAGTAATAAAAAACGCAATATTCCCTCAAAAATTATTCGAGCGCCATAATATTATAATAACTTAGTTTATTGGTGTTTTGCTATGCGCATAATTATGTTAATCGTAGCGATGCGATGCCATCCGAGTATATTTTACTTGTTATGAGACACGCTCTTATGGGAAACTGTACACCAGCCTTACTTCTCAGATTTTACGACGTTCGACTGCGTCAATGGTGTAATGATAGCAACGGGTCGTGGCTTCGATCCTCACCGGGTCCAACATTTTTCTTATTAGTTTTTTTTTTTAACTGTTGGATTTCATCTGGAAATCTGGATATTAAATGGATGATAGGAATATCGAATTTCCGCCCGGGTCACGAGTGAAAAAATTCCTTACGCACCTAATGAGTACATAATTTTCCTCGTTGTGCGGTTTCCTTCAAGCACTTTATTATTTTTATTTTTATCATGAAAACACCTATTAGATGGAGATTTAAATTGTTAACTTCTGGTCTAGTCAATAGTTACTAGGGACTCGACTACAATCACAAAGTTCGATTCTGTGGCGCCGTTATGGTCGGTATTCGATACTTAAGATTTTTTGTGGGAAGTAACTTCGTCTCCTGAATTATCAACTTCTAATTTAAGACAGATGGCTCTTATAATAAGCCAATAAGTAATGTTCACTATTTTAGTGGCGCATCGAAGCCTGCTAACCCGTTTGGGAAAAGCATGGTGGGTAACAGCAATAACTCACTGAGGAGGTTTTATGCATTGAAACAGTAATAGGTTAAAGATCATAATATCCTTAAATTGCAAGAAATACACAAGAAAAACAGGTATGAATTTAATTTTGTATTTATTTATTACACCAATAACTTTGAATTGAGACAATGTCAATAAAAATTGAATGAATTACTACAAAAGTTTAAAACAATTATTAAAATTTCTTCCAATAGTTTTTATCCGAATCGTAAATTCCAGTAAACATAGAATCGAAAAAATAATACTGTCTTTGCGAGTGGTAGACATCGAATAAAATATTTTTAAACAAATACAAAACACGTACTTTTTCACGAACCACGTAGTTTAATCGTAGGTCATAAGTTCAATGTGTATAAAATAATATAGTTCGCATTTTAAACTATTAAATAATGTATTATGTCATAAGTTATAGAACTAATACAAAAAATTAGAAAGGAAAGTAAATTATAGGGAAATCTGAAAAAGCTTTTAAAACGACTGAGGCTCGCGACCTCGGGCGAAAAATATGAAATAACAATCAGTCTTCATTAGAATTGTTGAAAACTCTCTTAAATAAAACCCTGTCAACGAGTTAAAACGCGAAATAACTTAGTTTTAATTTATTTTAGTACAGACCGACATTTCGAATGCTTTGCAACAGCCGTGGTCACGCAGGGACTGAAGATGAAGGGTATCCCCAAACTTAAGTCGTAGTGGAAATAAAAAATAAGTTTACTAATATACTTCGCGATTTAAACCGTTAGAGGTGTTTTATGTAAATGAATTCTACTCGCAAGAACTACAGACATACTTCTCTGTGCATCTTAGATTTTTCTCTAAATTAAAGTAATTTCGAGAACATTCGTCCAATTTTATCTTTTCGGATAAAAGCTATTGGATAGTACTGTACATATTAAACCTATTTCCGTTTTACTATCTCACCGGGGGGTGTGTCGATTTTCTCTGATGTGACTTCGTACTGAGTGTCTAACCTGAAACGAAATGATAATAATAAAAAATTTAAAAAACTAACCAATCAAAGCTCAAACTCTCCCTTCTCTTAAGAATTTGCTCTACACGTTATACCGTTCCAGCTCTTCAGTTAGTTTCTCCCCTACTTCCTATGTATACCTTTTCTTTTGTTTATTATTCCTTACACCTACCCACTTAAGTCTTTCCCTATTTCTTTTCTCCCGTACTACAGGTTGCCTGGAAGAAATCGCTGCTTAGCGATAAGGCCTTTTATTTATAAATTAGTACCTTTATTAAGACTTCCTCTATTTCTCTCGCTTTATATGTTTTTTTTTTGTTATGTCATGTTAGTATAAATAGAAATGGTATGACTTTTGGCGGCCATTTTGTAAAGCTCCTAGGGCTATCGACCGACTTGGCCAGCCGAGTTGTGATAAAGTAGATGACACATAAAATAGTAAAGTCATCGCAAAAAGGTTTCGGTAAAGCAGCGCCAACTAAATAAAATGCCTGTAATTAAAATCAGTAAAATAGACACAGATTTGTGTCCGTCCAGCGTGAAGGAATCGTAGTTTCATACATTTTAGACTGTAGCGAAAAGTCTACAATTTACGACGCGTACTTGTACAACAGAAGAACCATTAAATAATTATTAATATTAATATTTGAGCGCTATAAAATGTATTAGTTACCTTGTTTAAAATTTATTTTAATTGGGGCCCGTCGTTTATACCTAATTACCTGATACATATCGCACTTTAAACAGTTAAATGTGATACTGTCTATAGTTTACGCGAGTAGTACACATTTAAATAAAACACTTTAACGGTTTAAAACGCGATATATTAGTTAAACTTATTTAAAAATGATTTTTAACTTCAGCCCGACGTTACGACGACTGCAAAGCATCCGAAACGTCGGGCCGAAGTTAAAAATCATTTTTAAATAAGTTTAACTAATATATCGCGTTTTAAACAGTTAAATGTGGTTTATTTAAATGTGTACTACTCGCGTAAGAATCTTGGTTCAATATATCGTCCATATACCGTCTTACATAAATTAATGTTTTTTACAAAAAGTTTAAATCTTTTAAGACTAAACTTATGAAGTTTAAAGAGGCATAAAAATGTAATACTTTCCCAGAAACTGCTGTAAATATGTAACATGGCGTGGAAATCGAATATTTGAAAGTCCATTTTACAATCTCTGGGCGGCCGGGTGAGGCGGTTGACCGGCAAAGCCGAAGGTGAAATGCTAATAAATGCGGGTAGACAACAATTCTTTGAAATCCATGCATAATCCACGTTTGGGATTTCGAACGATATAGTTACGTTTTACCGATGCAAACAGTTTTCATGGCGCAGACGTATTTCCTACGTACACGTTTGTCTAACGTAGCAATGTTTTGCTAATCAACTGGCCGTGGGTTTGATCCCCACCGGGTCCAACGTGCTTCTCATCATTCAAATAAACGTGATAAGTGCTAACGGTTAAAAACGCGAAATGTAAACTTTCTTTTTAATTTATTTAACTACGGCGGTTGTGTTAACTTAGCAAATTTGACGTTGGCATTAGTGACACCCTCCATATGCAGGCCCTCGTGGCCACGGCTGCTGCACAGCATCCGAATCGGGGCGTAGGTTAATTAGAATAAGTAAACTAATGTATTTCACATGGTATACCTTTAAAGTGGTTTATTTAAAATAAGTATTTAATTATTTAATAAAAGTCGGGTCCTCGTATAATGCCGGTAAAATTATACGGGTCAGGATTCGAACCCAGATGACCGAGGTCAGTCACCCAGTCCCTTACTGGAACCTTCTATGTTATTATGTTTGTATTTCAAGAGATGTACATATGAGTAGTGAATGTCCAATAAAGCTTCTGACGTTACTAAAAAAAAGACGCAACGAATTAGAATTACATTATATTTGAAGAGACCAGAAAATTAGAATATCTGAATTACAGGGCATGTACCAAGTAGGGCAATACATAACTCATTAAAAAAAACCACTTAAACGGTTTAATACATTATGTGTATCAGTTAAAATAGTCTCCAAATAATTTAAACTAATATACATCGCGTTTTAAACCGTTAAAGTTTTTTATTGAAATGTGCATTCGCGTAAACTATTGACAGTATTTAAGACACAATTACAGTTACATAGAATAGTTCGTTTTTCGCGACAGTACCTAGTTTTAAAGTTTCCTGGTGGTGGTTGAATCGCTATAAACGTATTTCTATGAAATAAATCTTAAGACGTATTCTCAACGATATAATAGGCCGGTGTAGTGTCGTACATGGCACGATAAAAGGGCGCACGCGGTTCCTTTGTGCCACTAAAAGGTTTTGTTCGTATATCCACTTGGTCTTGATGAATAGCTTTGGGGACAATTAAGTCAAGCTACCAGCTAAATATTACATTAATTGATTATACCACCTTTGAAATTTCGTCTAATATCATCTAGAAACATTGTCTGAATGTTTACGCGAGTAGTAAAATTTTTTACAACAAAACTCTGTTAACGGTTGAAACTATAACAAAGCCTACGCAACGTCGAGCCGCTGTTAAAAATTAATAAAAAATATTTTAACTAATATATTTCGCGTTTTTAACCTGTAAATGTGTTTTTTTAATATCAAGCGGCGAATTGAGAGATAAAGAGATTTATGTTTAGAACAAATATTACACTTTAACGGTTTTAAACGCCATATGTTTCAGTTGTCACCAACGATTCGACGTTTCAGATGCCTTACAGCAGCTTGCATCGGTAACTACAGACTGTAAGTCTCGCGTACTAAATTGAAAACTAGACTTCTTTCCTTCTTTCTTTTCTGTTTTATAGAATGGAAAATTAAATTCATCAATTGTTACTTTTTTTTTATTACGCTCGGTTTCATACGAGTCTAAACTTATGTATTACAGCCGTTTTAGATGGGAAACATATTTTATACTGAATGCGATATTAACGTTGTTTAATAAGAATATTAAATCAATCAGGCAATTTAACGAGCAATTAAGAATTTAAAAAAACTTACTTAACGGTTTAAAACGTGAAGTGTATAAGTTAAACTTATGTACCATTATTTTAACTACGGCCCGACGCGTTTGCGAATTTGCAGCAGTCGTGGTCATAGGAAGACGTCGACGTGAATGAGTTACATACATTTCGCGTTTAAAACCGTTAAGCATATTAAAATGTGTATTCGCGTAAACTACAGACAGTACTGAGTCATTAGGAATTTCAATTGTCACATAACAGGAAGTTCTTCGTTTTCTTAGCCTTTTTAGAACTTAGGCGTCCTTTCTTGTTGACTTGCTCTATCATGAAGTCGAATCGATTAAATAAATCATGCTTCTCTGTACAGTCCAGGGCTGAATAGTTAAGCATTATAGGCATCACGATAGGTCAGTGACCGGTGCACCAGGTGTCTGATTCACCAAGGGCTGGCACAGGTGATGTTTTGGCATTTTATGGAGGAGAGGCAAGTAAGGCTTTCTTGATGGAAGATGTGAGATGAGAAGATACCCCAGCCATATACAAGATGCGCTGTTTTAACTTGCTATTTTGGATTTTCAGAATTCCAGAATAAGAAACCGTAACGCGATTAACCTTCACATCTCAATCTTTTCTACCCATTAAATATCCAGATTTTCAGACGAAGTCCAACGTGTTTCGGAAAAAATATAATTTGATTGGAGACATGTTGGATCTGGTGGGGTTCGAACCCAAGACCCGTTGATTAGCCACAAGTCGCTTCCATTCGACCTAAGAGAATGAAGAGGCCGTCGAGTTTAATCGCGTTTCGGTTGCAGTCTGTATTTTAAAGAATATCCAAAACCAAAAAGGTCGACAGCGCATCTAGTTTAGTTGTTATATGGTTGGGGTATTTCAAGTACCATCAAATGATCCCCACGCTCATGTACCATAAAAAAACTGCGCTGTAGAGGAGATCAAGATTTCATATATAAAAATTAAAGACTTGTAATTTCTCGTTTGTGACAACCCTGACTCAAATTCAAAGTGTTTGCATTATACGCCACATTACGGCTTATTGTATACTCTTCATATCGCCCCAGGATTCATTTCAATACGGAGAGTACGAGGTCGATGGACATCTACTTGTTAATATAAATGAGGGGGCATCGGCCACTATTTTGCACGTGCATGCGTTTCTATGGAAACCAAATAGAAATGAGGGCTCCATTTGAACGATAATTGTTATATGACAAAGAACATTGCGTGAGACCCACGAAGGTATAAAGCGATAGAGAAGCGAGAACAAAGGGCGACAAGGAAAGAAAAAGTTTGAATAAGAATTAGAAAGAGTTGGATAAATTTAACAAGTGTGTAAGTGTTTTATGTAAAATACGATGTATATTAATAAAATTTATATGAAAATTATTTTAACTACGGCCCGACGTTTCGGGTGCTTTGCAGCAGCCGTGGGGGAACACACTGGGAGACAACCGTGGTACCATATATGTTTAACAAATATATATCGCGTTTTAGACCGTTAAGTGTTTTATTTAAAAGAGATTTTTTATCAAAACTTTTAGACATACCTTAGATTCCTCAAACGACAATCAGATATAATGCTAATCCGGGATCGAGAGTCTCCATCAAGTGGTGGCAACGAGTTCTTCGATCTTCCGAGCATGCTGAAATTATTTTTGTCCTAAAAACAGTGAAAGGCATGGGGCGAACATATTACTGTGTCCGTTTCAGTCATCGGTTTTATGTCCATGTAGGAATTCACCTACCATCAAGTGAGCCAAATCACTTTTGGATTTCGTACGCTAAGGAAACGGTTCGAGTTACCCAAAAGTATGTATGAAGGAATTATTTTTCTTTAAGCGATCTAAAAAAATGTCCGTATCTGACATTGTGGGTAACAGCTTAACTTTATCTAGTTTCAGACTTTGAACTTTTTCTAGCAGGAGATTTGCAAAAATAAATGTCGCTGACACAGCTAGTACTTCATAATTATGTATTCTGTTACCTCGCCCTACTAAACAATTTGCTTTTCTCTGTCGTCTTCCTTTTGGGGCGTAACCGGTCTACGATTGAATCACCAGCCCCCTGCAGCGACCCGTCAACGGGGGTCGTCATTTTCAAGGCGCTATACGTCGAATCCTAAAGAATGAAATGCCTTATATATAACTCGCTGATGACTTGCCAAATGATTGACTCTAAATAATTAAGGCATAACCTTATAGTATGAAAAATAGATATTAAACTAATTCTCAGATCTACTAAAGGCGTATAAAATTTCATAAAAGTCGGTCGAGCCGTTTCGGAGGTTAGTGTTTAATTGGCACTGCGACACGAGAATTGTAAGTATATTAGATATGACAACCTTATTAGACAACTCTTCAGTGCTGTAATCTGTGATCTTCTGCAACACCTCACTCTCCGCACCAATGTTGGGTTCGCTGATTATGCTGCTAGAGTCCTGAAAGATCCCATCAGTGAAATAATAAACCAGACTAAGATTGTACAATTAAATGACACAAATAACATTAATTGATATTCTTTTTATTATTTATTTAACTCTCTACTGCAACATACACGAAACAAAAATACAATATTAGGGAAAAGAAAAAATATATTAACACTAATAGAATACGCGGCCTTATGGCTTTAGAGCGATCTCTTTCAGTTTGTTTGAAAATAAAATAGGATATATAACATGGGAACGTGCAGGTCGTGCGAATAAAATATTAATATTGAGTAAAAAATACGTTTGTTCTTTCGATTTCCAAATATGTATATTAATTGATATAAACCTCTTTAAATCACTGCTTTAAAAACACTTCTTATCAATTTAATTGTATAACATGGTACTTATGTATAGCTACGAATCAACGGGTCGTGATCTCGATTCATTTCGATATTATCTCTAACATGTTTCTCATCTATTTACAATTTTCCTGTAACACACTGGACTTCGTCTGGAAATCTGGACATTAAAAGGAATTTTGAAATTCCTTCCAGGTCACGAGCCACCGTCCAGATTTGAAAAAGCCGTTGCGTTTAATCGCGATTCGGTTGTAGTCCGTGGATTCAGAATATACAAAACTAAAATAAATTGATAGTGCATTTCCTCTATCGTACAAAATCAATTAATGTTACAAACATACATACATAGCTTAAGACTTTCGCATAATGTTCCGATTCCTTTGCCCATGGTATATTCACTCTACCGGGGAACCTGTAACATACGGTACAAAAAATATTTAAGGCATAGAAACAAAGTTCTGATTATTTATAATTACATTTTAATAACAACTAACGATGTATAACGCGATATATTTTTGTTAAACTTATTTGAAATTTGTTTTAACTTGAGGTTTCGGATGCTTTGCAGCAGCCATGATCACGGGGAGACCGACGGGCCGTAGTTAAAATAATTTTCAAACAAGTTTAGTTAGTAGTAGTAGTTAAGTAATATATTTCGCGTTTTAAGCCGTTAAAGCGTTTAATTTAAATGTGTACTATTCGCGTAAACTACTGACAGTATTAAAGGCTAATGGTGATAAGTACTTTGTAAATTATTATGCCTTAATAAAGAGACTAAATAAAACAAATCCCACCAATACTCAGATGGTATTTCGTCAACAGCGGGAATATCCAACGAGGAGCTACTTGGCCACTTCTTCAAGCCTTCCTCTTGACACTCCTCTTGGATGATCAAGTCTTGCTTGCACCAGGTGTCCTTTGGCGATGGGTCTGGTAAATCGTCAGGTATCCATGATTCGGTTCTCTTTGGTATATAGCAAGGTGGGTATGCGCTTGGATCTTCACCAGGGTCGTGACGATAAAAATGCCTATAAACATTAAACGTATTACGTAGCTAGCCATGTCAGCGACGTCCGTGTAGAATAGTTGGGCATCGAAATTTGTTTCTGAAAACCTCCTCGTCTTTATAAATTGCAAGTTAATCTTAAAAGATAGACATATAATGTGTAGACATTTTTAAACCATTTAAAGAGAAATCATTCTTTCATACATATTTTTGGCTATCTTGTACCGTTTTCGGAGCGCAAGCAACGGAATCTCTCAAAGAATAATAATTCTCCCCACTTTTTCCACATTGCCCACCGTTTCTTCGCTCCTATAAGCCACAACGCGATGTTTTATAGCCTAATAGCATTCCTCGATTAATGTTCTACTACGCAAAAATATTTTTTCAATTCGAACCAGCAGTTCCTGAGATTGGCGCGTAAAAACAAATAAACAAACAAGCCTTTAAACTTTATAATATTAGTATAGATAATATTAAATGTTATGTTGGACCACATGAGAGGTCCTGAGCTTGAATCCTGACATAAAATTTGGTCAGGGCCCGGAAGATATGAAGAAATTACGAAGCACCAGTCGATCAGCTTCAGCCATGCTTGTCCCGCGCAGTGAGCTGTGAAGAGCGCGGTTTGACGCTCCATGTATTTTTCAAAGCATACGGCCAATGCTGCTTCCAGAATTTCTTCGCGTATATCAAGTATCAACAGATCGTCTTCCTCCTTCTGAAGAATTTCAGCCCTGAAATAAAATCGAATATATATTAATATATAAAGCTGAAGAGTATATTTGTTTGAACGTGCTAATCTCTGGAACTACTGGTTTACATTTTGAAATTATCGCTATAATCGTTCGCGCCATGTCTAAGCAGCGATACGGGGGAAAATTTTGTTGGTTTCTGTTGCGTACGCTGCGAAAACGGTTCAAGATATCAAAAAAACATCTATGAAAGAATGATTCCTCTTTAAATGATCTAAAAAAATCCGCGACAGTGTATCTTTTATGATTTACTAGAAATAACGACGCTATAATTTATAAAGATGAGGACTTATGAAAAACAAATTATATGTCCAAAATGACTATTCGACGAAGTCGCTAACTCAGTTAGTCAATAAGATAAACACACTACATATTTGATCAGCTCGTTGACGTAACTGCTGTAACAGTGTGTGGCTAATAATAAACGGGTTCGATCCCCACCGGATTCATCATGTTTCCAATCAATTTACAATTTTTCTGTAACATGTTGAACTTCGTCTGGACATCTGGATATTAAATGGATGGTAGGAATATGGAAATTCCACCCGGGTCACGCACCACCGCCCCAAGAAAAAAAGCCATCTAGTTTTATCGCGTTACGTTTCAGTCCGTGGATTCCCGAATATGCAAAGCCAAAATAGACCGACAGCGCCTCTTGTTTAGATATTATATGGATAGGTTATATCACCCACAAACACCCCTTCAAAACCCCTTCCTTATCTGTTCTTCTCTAATATATATCTTCTATCATAAATAACAAGTGTATTTGTATCCTCCGTGTCATGCAGGTTTTCTTTTTGCTGAGTCAGTTAGATCATCAGAGATTTTATGAATTATAATAATAATTACTAATTTAATAATTTCTTAGATTACCAAATACGTTCAGGCACGTCCTTAGGAAGTGCTGTCAGGATTCTCTGGTCATCCGCCATTAGGAGTTTCTTTCCCCTCCTAGACAATTTATATTTGCTCTTATCAGGAACACCTCCACCAGCATTACTCAACATGATTGTACTCTTGATTTCTTCAAAAATAACTTAGAAAAAAACAACTTCGGCTATGCACAAAACTTTACTACACAAAAATACTCGCTAAAAATTATTTATTGACAAAATTACAATGACAAATGTGTGTCTATTATGACAAGTAAAGTAAATATCGTTGTCTGATCCAATGTTATGAAAACCAAGCAAAAATTCCTTATAACTAAATATAATTAAGCCGCCATAGGTTTAAATTATATAGATTTTTCTACGCCTCTTTTGTAATCCAAGTTTTAGTTTTATACATCGCTACTATTGGTAATTAGAGTGTAATTTTGGTTACAAGTTGTTAATAGAAAGCTTATCATCAGATAAGAGAGGTGTAATCAATAGATTAATCGGATTAAACTTGTAGGTCACGAAAATAACAAAAAAAAGTTCCTATGAAACCTTTATTTTTGAATGTGAATGTGTTTTCCAATATAAAAGTATTAAGTAAGTAATGTAATATATTATATAAAATTATTGAAGTTGATGGATAAAACATATTTATAAAACCTAATTTCGTGGGAGAAAATTCACTTTTATAAACAAAAATATAGGTGGCCAGAAACCATAGTCTATGAATCAAACAGTTGACAGCTGTTTGAAAAATAAAAGTGACAAAAACGGAACGCAAGCTGTTGTTGCGGATTTCGAAATTATTTTTCTAATATCACTTTTGTAAAATGGGAAAAAATTATATTATTTAGTGAATTGATTCGTGCGCAAATGATGTGTGTATATTTTCTGATGTTCATTTCTATCGTTTGAGAACAATGTACACTTTAAAGGGTATTTTTCCTGAACCCAGTAAGTACCAATCTGTTGTTTGTTTGTTTTTTACTATTACTTGATTTTTCAAATGCATTCATATTTAATTATTATACTTCTATATTATTCCCTGTTTACACTTTCAGAAAAGGAACAAAAAAAGAACTTTATAAGAGAAAATATGAAACAATTAAAATTTATCCAAGGCAAACCACCAAAGGATCCCAAGTTTACTTTGAAAACTGGACAACCAACAAGATTTCCTAACTCACTAGCTGCATCAGCAACTTTAGCCCAAGTGAAATCTTCTCCATCCAGTAAAAGTGGTAAAGTGACACTAAATGTTGGTAAAAACAGTGCATCCAGTTGCCGAAGGAGACAGGATATCAGGATTAAGAAAGGAGATATGGCTGAGTTTTTAAAAAGAAAAGAGTTAAGGCAATCACATGCCCTAGAGGATACCGATGACGAGGTCAGATCCACTGATAGTTCTGGGCGCCTACGAGACATTGGTTGCCAAACCATTGAAACAAATCTTTCCCAGCGACTCGAGAGTGCTAAGTTAACCATGTTATACCCTAAAGATGAAGATAATGAGGCTAAAATAAAGGCAAGTGGTGACAGTGGTAGAACCAAGAGCCCCTCTTCTTTGGCTCATACACCTCGAAGAGCTGGAGATGATTTGATAGATGAAAGGCATCGCTCTAAACTTAATTCTATTCTAGAGAAGAAAGACAATAAGGATCCCTATCTACCATCAGGTAACATTTAATATATATTAATATCTTATAACACTTCTAAACCATAATTCTTTACATTATGAAATATTTAGGATATCAAAAAGGAGTTTTGCCAAAGTATCTCCGTGAGCGAAAAGAACAGACTGCCAAAGAGCAAGAGACAGTTACGGTTGAAGACGACCATGTCATCTGCCCGCCTGGTCATGTCACATTGCCTGATAACGAAAGGAAAGAAACCCTTCGTATGTTGCGAAACAGTATGTATTTAGATAATACTATAAAACATTCATTGAGAGTTATTTATTAAACTGAAATCCTCTATTAATGGGGCCATTTTACTGAATGGTTTTATTACAGACATTTAGACAACTTACAGACAATAGACTTCTGTGCCCTGTCTGGCTATTGTTTCCCTCTGATAGAATGCTTATACTTACAGCACTTTACAGACACAACTTATTTAAAATTTCAATAGTGTCCAAGTTGCTCAGATAATGTCAACATATTATGTGTTATAGGTTTTGCAGAACTTGTTAGCGAATTAAACAAGATGCCAGTGAAAACAGATACACTCAGAATGAGAAATAGGAAAATGGAATTGGAAAAGCAACTGGCAAAATTGGAGGAGGGCATCAAAGTGTTTTCAAGACCAAAGGTTTTTGTTAAGATTGGGGAGTAAACTAGTTCAAAACAACACCTGGAGGCGATAGGGCTTAAAATTCGTTCACCATTTCTTTACTATGAAGATCTTACATGAATACTTTTCTAAAAAATATTCTTGTGTGTTAATTTTGAGGATGTTGTCGAAGACATTTTAGGCCAATTTTCACCATTACATAATAAATTAAGTGGTACAAATTAGAAAATTCCAGTATTTTAAAAAATTTCATGTAACATAATAGTTATTGTAACCTATCATAATTATATTTAGTTTTAATTTAATGTATATTTTGCTCCAGTAATTAATATAGTAACATGAATTGTATGTTTACAGTGTCTTTAACTTTTGGAAATTTGATTATATAATATTTGTTTCCAATTTATTTGTTATCACTTGAAATTTTTCTATGTAAGATCCTTCCAGTATGAGCTAGATGAGCTGTAGTGAACAACTGGGTTATAGTAATATGATTTTCAAGAAATTAAACAACTTTATTTCCGGCTTCACAATTGCAAGCCTGTATATTCTTTGGTTGAAGGAAGAAGTAACTAATAAAAACTATTATACACTATTACAAAAGACTAAATAGTTATTACCCATTGTGTTAATACAATGATGGCAGAAACCTTTTCTACAATTTCCTTACATGTTGAAACAAATGTTTATTGAATATAATGGGACCCTTTCTATATAGCTGTTCAGTGTTTGTGTGCCATTCATAGAAAGAGAAGTCTGGGAAGAAAAATTTTATTTCCCTTTCCGCTGATGCTATCGAATCTGAAAGGTAAAAATAAGCATGGGCAATACTGTGAAAATAATAAAAGATCCAAAATCCATACCTACCTGATCCATGTGCTACATTCCTTGTGTCTGAGAGACCAAACATGCCCCTTAAAGAGTATGGATCTTCAAATTGTGCTTTGAACACTTTAGTAGGACCTAGCATTGTCCTCCACAACTGAATTGCGTTTCTGTGCCCAAGTACATGTAAATCTATGTAGCCACTAAAAGCAAGATGAAAAATTATGTTATGTGATGAAAACTTTTCAATTTTTTTTTCATAACTTACCTGGACATAAAAGTGACGAGCCTGTTAAAGAAAAATTTCTCTTCGTGTTCTATGTAAAAGTTACCAGCAGTTTCCTGGTCCAAAGTAACTCTTTTTGTTTTCACCACAACGAACTTATTTTTTATAACATTTCTGATGTATGAAAGCGCAACGGGATTTTTCACTGCATGTGGTTTTATAATTGCTAATGACAACTGCAGCTTGCACATTTTTATTAGAAATTGAGCTCATAATTTCATATTATTAATTATCTCAAATAATGTTTATAAATTTTAGGCTAGAATTTTTAAATTTCGCACTCTAGTGTCAATTGTCATTTGCTATGGTGATCGTGATTCTTAAGTGCTCTGTGGTCATATCTTTTGTTAACATTGCTTCGTCCTAACAACTGTGGTAAAGTGAAATGTCAAAATATGTACCAAATGATAAACATTTACTTTTTAACGAATCAAGAATTTTGGTTTTATTACTATTTACGAATAAAGAGAAACCTACTTAAGTAAAATATATTAAATAATCTTTTTACTGCAAGTTTACATCTAATTTTTGTCTTAAAGTTAGGTACTAAATATTAAAAAATTATATTTATGAATTGTGATTTCTCTGAAGTACACAATAAGTTTTAGGAAGATGGTTGTGTGTAGATATTTTTTGCAAGGCAGTTGTCGTTTCGGGCAAAACTGCAGATTTGAACATACATATAGCTCCAAATATTCATATCAAGGTAGATAACGTAATTCATAGTCATTTCAATTCTGTAACTATTTGGAATAGATTGATAATCTGGTATTTCAGCTCCTACAGCAAACGTAGACCAAGAAGTAATCCAGCAAGTGAAATCTGATATCCAAGAATCTCTGTATGGTGGTCAATGGATACTAAGCTACTATTCCCCATTCAAGGGAGGTTGCTTTCCTGGATTAAATAATTTTTCACAGGAGGAAGCTAGACTAATGATTTATGAAGCTAAGGCTAATAACACTTTGGACCAAACAGTTAGTATAATAATATGTCTATGTTTTGAAAAAAAAATCTTCATTCTTCTGCTTATCTCTCTTTTCAATATGTAGTATTTGAAACTCACAAATGGCACTATTTTGTATTTGATTTATATATTTATTAATTTGTTTGTTTTCAGATGTTGTATATGAACAGTTTATATAATGATAATAAGCAGAAATATCAACAGATTCTTGAGGCATCTCCTTCTATAGTTAAAGTACTAACAAGTTTGTACAAAGGTGAGCCTGTAAGTTCTCCATTCGAAAACAAGAGCCAGGTATCTCAGGGTTTTGGGTCACAAGCAACATCCATATTTCGAAGTGCTGTACAAAGCGATCCTTTTAACCAAACAAAAGAATCTGTATTTTCAAGATTAGGTAACCAAAATGTCAATGCAAGTGATGTTCCTAAGTCAATATTTGCTCAAGCGACACACAACATTTTTGGGCCTTCTCAACCACCACCAGCTTACCAACCACCTCTACAAAATAATTCAACAGCGAAATCAATTTTTGCTCAAGCAAGTCATAACACCTTTAATCAACCACAGCAAAGTGTTTTCACAAACAACCAACAAAGTGTATTCACAGCAAGTCCACCGAAACAAAATATCTTTGCAACCAACCAAGTGTCACATGATGTTTTTGCAAATAATCAGCAACAACAAAGTGTCTTCACAAAAACTCCAGAAAACCCTTTTGGTGTACAACAAAACACAATCACAAGGACTAATGCAGAAATATTTGGTATCACCAAAAATGCTTTTGAACAGTCACCAGATGATGATGATAATGTATACAGCAAGATTGAAAGTCTTTCACCATCAGACTTAGAAGCGTTTAATAGTTCAGACTTCAAATTAGGTTTTATACCAGAGCTGCCACCACCTCACAGTTTGTGTATTTAGTTAAAAATGATAAAGTCACATTCAAAGCTCAACCATTTCATTTAGTAGAAATCCTATAATGTTCAAATATTTACTGCTCTTTTAAGAAATTATCAAGGTATCAATTACCGTTAAGTACTTTGTTGTTTCATTTAAAACTAGCTGTGTCAGCGACTTTGTCCGCGTAGAATAGTTATTTTGGACGTAAAAAAATGTTTTTTTGCCAACTTCCACGTTTTTATAAATTCTTGTCGTCGTTCTTGTAAGTTTAATTTTTTGAGAATTTAAAAAGGTACCGTTTTCGTAGCGTACGCAAAGGAAACCCACGAGAATGAATAATTCTACCCGTTTTTTTCACATGTCTCGTTGCTTCTTCGCCCCAATAAGTGGCATCGCAATCGCGTCTAACCAGGACAAAAAGACATTTTTAAATCGAACTAGTATTCCGTTTAGCGCGCTCAAATAAACAAATTCTTGAGATGAATTAAAAAGAATCACAGCTTCAAAGAAAATATTATGACCATTTCAGTAACTTACACACTGACACTTATGGCTAAATATCATTTATTTACTAATTATCAATCTCCCCAAGATAAATCTGTTTATCACTAGATGCTGAAAGAACAATTGGCTCTGAGCGGTGGAAATGCACATCATTGACAGATCCGTTGTGTCCAGGGAGCTTATAAAGGACACGACGCGACGTCGTATCCCAGATATAAAGGTAACGGTCAGCTGAACCTGCTGCCACCTACGGGGAAAGTATTTCAAATTATTTTAATAGAAGAAATTAGTGTATATTGTACTGTGTTAAGAACGAGAGGTCCTGGATTCATATATTGGTAAAACAAGTAGTGTGAAACCTGGTTAATTGGGTTCTCAAGGGACCAAGATATATTATTGAGGGTCCAATAATCCTGTTTTCCAATTGCAGAGTAGGATTCAAATTACAATTGTCTCACTTTAACAGAGGCTCAATTATAGAGGTAAATGTTTAAAAAGTCTTCAAATCTCTTTTAACCAGGTCCAAAACATTCTATTAACAGAGGTAATGTAGTGAAAAAACCGGGACCTCATTGCAATTCTCAACATTAGAGATTTCTCATTTATGCAGGTCCCACTTCACCAGGTTTCACTGTGATCGTTTCAGTCCGTTGGCTTGTAAATGAAATTGATTAGTGAAAGTAAATATAGGTTTTTGGTTTATGAGAAACCCAGAAAGCAGTTTTCAGTTTAGATATAACTACTATGCAACATTATCCAGGAATATTTCGAAAGACTATATGATTTACACACATACCTTAGAACCATCTGGAGACCAGGCACACTTGAGCAGATTCTTTTCAAAGTTATGCTGATGTCCAGACATTAATTTGACACATCTTTCTGAAGGTGCGAATGGCCGCACGTCCCATATCCTCAGAGTGTTGTCCATTGAATTTGAGAGTAAGTAGGAACCGTCATATGAAAGTGCCATTCCTGAAACACAATAATAGTCTTAGAATATGTAAAATCTACTTCTAGATATCTCCTAATAGTATTTCTTAAAATTTTACAAAAACAAAAACAATTTTCAGCACTGTTATCACATGTTTTCCTTCTTTATTGCTACAGTATTGTCACTGTCTTTGTAAAGAACTACCCTTGTGAGGCTATACTGTTGTGCTCCATAATATGGTTTTTATTGTCAGACTGTGTCACTTCCAAACGCTGTATATTAAATATCTAGTTTATTTTATGTCGCATTTTGTATCAATAAATTAATCTCTTCTATTTAGCGTCATTGGATACAGAATTTTGAATTTTGCATGTGTATCAGCAAAACTTGGGCAAAATGGAAATGGAAGCCATATTGGCATAGCAATAGTGGCACTGCAGTCAAACTTAAATAACATTGAGTTAGCACAAGGTACCAGGGTTCAAATCTCAGGAAAACAATAATTTTCATATCAGCCTCATAGGAGTCTGAACAAGTACTCCAGACCTCCCGGGATTGCATTTTTATAAGCATGTTATATAAAGTGTTTCAATTATAATACCTGTAATTGTATCTGTATGTCCTTTAATTTTATAAGCAATCTGTTGATTTCTAATATCCCATACTTTTATCACATTATCTACTCCACCAGAAATAATCTTTTCAGCAGTATCATTGAAAAGTACAGACGTCACTGGATACGCACTATCCAGCGATAATATAGGATTTCGTTTTCTTGCATCCCATAACTTTATTGTGTTGTCATCAGATGCTGATACGAGTAGTTCTGGGCCTCTTCTAGCTCCTGAAATAGTTTGACATTCATTCATTTTATTACAAGCTTAATGTAACACTGTGACCACTATTTGTTCTTAGAGCAAAATATTCTCACATTTAGTGTGTGCTAGTCTTTTTTTTTTTAATTTGCAGTCTAAAGTAAAGATTTCTAGGCAAAAAAATTAATATGTTGAAAATGTTGTCTAAACAATTTGCAAAGAAATATTTTATAACTTTCATACCTGAAACTGAGTTTACAAAGTTAGAGTGGCCCTTTAACTTTTTAATTCTTGTCCCAGTGGGTACGTCCCAGACAGCCACAGTATTGTCTGTTGCACATGTGTACATGTGAGCTCCATCGGGTGAGAAACATAGCTCCATAATAGCTCCCGTGTGTCCCTTTAATACCATGACATTCTCACATTGTCCATACACATTCCAAAGATCTGAAATAAGAGAATTATTATATTATAGGTTTCAATTAAATTTATTTATTTACACATTGGAGACATTAAGTTTGGTACTCAAGTAATTTTATCATATTTATTTAAATCAAATTTTAATATCAGAAATATTATTTATTAATCTAAATATTCAAATCAAGTAGAATTAATTTAAGCTACAGACAGTATTTAAGTATAATTCAACAAGCAACAATAGCAGTGTACACACACTTAATGTACAGTACATACATATCTGCCGATCGAAGCCTGCAGATGCCAAATGTTTGCCTTCAGGATGGAACTTAGCAGTAAAGACTTCACCTTGATGCCCTTCTAATAACATAATTGGCGCATAGAGATTTGATGTACGTGGAACCTGTAAAATTTACAAAAGGGTGTTACGTATAGGCCGTATTTTTGTTTATTGTTATAGTCAGGTTGCTTAATATTCTCAGTTATTAAACTAACAACTTTTAGGTCTGTATTTACACTTACGGTTGCTGTAACCACGGCTTTTTCTCTAGTACCCGCCACAGAGATTTCATGGCGTGTTTTCTTCGCTGGAACCACTGAGTATTCATCAGCTTTGCGCTTTATTTCCAACTCAGGCATTACTAGACCCTAGATGTATATAGCACTATTATTAAAATTATTTAAGTTTTTACCAAGGAGTTGTGAATACTAAGTAGCAAGACAACATTTATTAGCCTAGCTATCCACAGTATCTGGTCTAGACCACAGACTGAGTAGGAGCGATACAGGAGACGGAGTAGCCACAGCGAGGACGAAGCTCCTTTTTATATTATTGATATGTTCGAGCAGATGAATGATTAATATTTTTTTTTTTGGGATCGATATTATTAATACTAAAAAGCATAGTGGAGTGTGTGTGTATTTCCTGATATGTATATAATCTGTGGTGTTAAGTTCGTTTTTATCACGAGGGCCCTTGCATAAACTGTGAACAGTCACTGCTAATCTTAAGACTTAAACAAAAACGTTATTTGATATTTCTCGGCTTGTGATAGTATTAAGTATGGTATTGTGCCTTGTGGTAACGACTAACGGTAACGGGTAGCATGAGATAAGATTTTATTAGAAACTCAATCTAGTATTTACTATCTCAGTGATAAAATAAAAATTCAGAATATTTCTTGTACTGAACTTATTCAGATTTTAGTCTAAGATATATTTAATACAAGTCGTTACTATGTTTGGTCACAATTTTAACCAGTATATTGTTTCTATTAGTAAGTTAAGATCAACATTGGTATTACTATCTTTTTTACATTAGAATATCTATTGTGGAAGATATTTAATTTTGCAATTTAAAATTTTCAGCCAGAGATACGTTTTATATACTTCTTATAGCCGGATTTTATAAAGTTTACTCTCTGGGATATAAGATGATTACAGACGAGAAACAATTGGGTTTTCAAGCAGTACTTAATAATAATTACAATTATTTTATAGTACTTGTAGCTACAAGTATGGTTTTACTGCATTATAATGAAAATCCATTCAGCATGAACTTAGTCACAATGTTCATCGCCCATTTTATTGTAAAGTTTAGCAACACTGTAAGTAAAACATTACTTTATATTTTACTATGCATTTTAGGAATCTAAAATAAGATTTTTATATGCAGCAGTTATAGTTGAATTTCAAATGTACAAAACTTTTGTAATTCATAGGAAAAGTCATCTATCACTTACGGAGTTGGAATGGCATGTAGTTTCTTTGAGGGATACTTAGCCCAAATCATTCCAAGTGACGGAGCTGATTTTGTGGGATTTCAAGAAAATATAGAGAAGTATCAAAACAGGGAACGGGTTGTCTTTCCAGTCCAAAAACTTTTTATAATAATAACGAAGTCACTCTACTGTCCACCAAACCTTAAGGGTTTTAATAGGAAGAAATTTCCTTATTTGGAAGCATGTCAGGTTGTCTGGTAGTAATTATGTATTATTTGGGATAATTATTATGCACTCCATTGCATTAGTTTTAGTATTCTGCATTTCACTGGTACATTTGTCTTTTTTTTTTAATAAAGCAGAAAAACAGACAAGCACGGCATTCACTAGATGGTAGGTGATATACCCCTAGCTATAGCATCTAAACAAGATGGGTGGTAGACCTAGTTTGGCTTTTGGATATTTGGAAATCCACAAACTGAAAATGAAATGAAACACAGGTGAGAAAGCTTCACAGCTTTTTCACCTGTGGATGGTGGTTTGTAATCCTGATGGAATTTCTATATTTATTATCCAAATCTCCAGACAAAGTCCAACATGTTTCAGAAATTATAAATTGAAAAATTTGAATAAGAAACACATTGGACCTGGTGCGGAACGAGCCACAACCCGTTGTTAACCCATACTTTACCACCATACCATACCACCAAGCCTGTCTTTTTGATTTTATTACAAATTACAACTGATAGGCCAGACTACATCTAGCCTATTGATCGCCTCTCTAGTGAGTTGTCTTAATAAATAGGAGATTTGGCTTCCAGTATATTCATATGATGTGTAATTATGAATTGCAAGACAAAAGAAATATGTTTAACAGATTAATAATAATTATACTTAATGTTGTGTTTCAGTCTTTTGAAGATGTTAAGAAAGATGTTGCCGGTGTGAAGAACAGGATTTACAGAAATAGTGCATACAAAATACATAGGAAGGAAGGCCAACCAGTATATATTGCTGCTGAGTGTGCCACACCACTACACACTTTGCATAGAGTCTTAAAGAATTGTTCTGTGTATGGAGGTAACATACTAGTATTTGATATTTTATCCATTCTAGAAAAAAAGCACAGCTAATAGATTATCTATTCTGTATCTTTTAGAGCTTTGTGACATAAATGTGGATCAGGTGGTGGAAGACTTTTGCACTACCCTTAACACTGTCATTAGAAAGAATCCCGAGTGTCAGGGCAAATGTCAACTTGTATACTTTGATGGTAAGAAGCTTACTAAAAGTAAACAATGAAATTGTTAAGTATTGTCTGTAGTTTACTTGAGTAGTGCACAGTGAAAATAAACACTTTTAACTGCTCAAAACGCACAATGCATTGGGTACATTATTTCTACTTTATTTTAACTACTATAAAATTTACTGATTTATTTCTCAGTTTTTAACCGTTTTTAATCGTCATTTATTTATGTCATTAATACTTGCTTATTTATTGATTGATACTTAACAGTCTCCATATCCAAAATATATACCCACGACATAGGACGCGTCCTTCCCGTTGTTCTTGCAAGTTAATCTTAAAAGATAGACATATAGAGTCGTGGACTTTTTTTAGGTCATATAAAGAAGATTCTTTTATGCATATTTTTTGGGTATCTTGAACCGCTTTTGCAACCCATTTTTGCCTTGGAAACCCATAATAATGAATATTTTTTCCAAATTTGTTCACATCTCGCTGTTTCGTCGCTTGTATTAGTCACAGGACGATGTTTTATAGCCTTTGTCGATAAATCTAATTCTAACCAACACAAAATAATTTTGCAATTCGAACGCGTAGTTCTTGATATTAGTGCGTTCAAATAAACAGACAAAATCTTCAGCTTCATATATAAGTATAGATATGTACCTTCTTAACAGGCAATATTTAATGTTTCAGATACCAATCCAAATGTTAACTTGGCTGACGTTCTTCTGCAAGAAATAGAGAAAATTGAACCAGACTTTGAAAGTGTTATTAGTAGGTAGTATACTATATCTTCTACTCTCTGCTTTTTTTAAAAAGAATCTCTACTCTTTGGGACGTTATTTCTTAAAAGTTACTATAAGATGAAACTATTTTTGATACAATAATACATTGTCTGTTATTTACACTTGTAGTAAACATTTAAAAACACATATAACGGTAAAATGCGAAATATATTATAACTTATATATTGTAACTACTGCACAACGCTTGTGAAACTTTGCAGCAGGAACAGTTCTCCCAGGCCATGGCTGCTAATATACATTGAAAATATTTTAACTGATATATTTTGCATTTTAAATTTTAAACTGTTATTTTTTAAATATAATAATATATGTATATTAAAAATTAAATTGTCTGATCTAAACATACTACAACCAATAAGCGACTGACATTTTTTTTTTAAATTTTTTAACCAAATAAGTCCATGACCACTGATTATCATAATTATTAAGCAATGTTTACCTCAATTTTTAAACCAATTACACTATTATAGGTTAACACTATATTATGTGAATGTGTCACGAATAATATTTCTTCGTCTTGTGAATAAGCTCTACTTAAGAAAATTTAAATTTAAAATTCGCGAGAAAATTTAAAAACTTAATTCTGACCTTTTTACCCATAAGAACCAAAAGATTTCAGATTCTTTTACAAAATATTTGATAAATACAATAAGCGTTCGAAAAGTTGTGTCTTCGTTCTTTGTACATTTTTAAAAGTTCATAGCTCAGCAATAAGTAACCACATGATAAAATATACAAATCCCCTACACCACTTTTTTACTTGTCCCTTTTAAGTAATATCCCTTATTTAAAAAACATGAAGAATTGTTAAGCTTAACGTTACTTTTGTAATTATTATTTAGTTAGTGATAAATTTATGGGCGCCTTCAAAAGGATAGCGCTGCGGTTGTTTTGTATACTACTTAAATATTGAGATTCCTAAGAACTAGTCTGATACAGATAAACAGGGTAGTATTAGTTCAATTATTACCATAATTTAATTATTATCTGTTGAAATATAGGGTATCTTAATAGATATTATAATTAACAAAATAACAGATTTAAAATACTAACATTTATGGAACAATTGTCTATTGCTTGTGTAACGGCACTTACCGATGTATGTCAATAGTTTTAATACTACAATTTTAAATGATTTTGGAAGAAAGTTGCTGTTATGCGTAAATGTATGGTTGCTATAGAATAAGGATGTTTTTGTTTAGATTTAGAGATCTATTTTATTAATCAAAATAAACATTAAAAAAAATTAGTGTGTTTTATTATATCCTTTCTATAGTGTACGCGAGTAGTACACATATAAATAATACACTTTAACGGTTTAATACGCGATATATTAGTTAAACTTGTTAGTTTGACGGGAAGTGACCACGGCTGCTGCAAAGCGTCCAAAACGTCGGGCTAAAGTTAAAAATCATTTTCAAATAAGTTTAACGAATATATCACGTTTTAAACCGTTAAAGTGATTTATTTAAATTTTTAACTTTAATCCGCTGGAGTCAGCCTAACCCTCTCTAGTACCAAGTATATAGTTGCAATCGACCACTATTCTGTCACAGTACTAATCTTGTAACTGTCAATTAAATAGGCTAATCTTAATTTAAAAATCAAATATATATTGATAAAATTTTCGACTCGGGCAGAGCTTGACCCAGCATCGTCAGCGTTCCGTGCTGTTGCTCTAGCAATTGAGCTACCGAGTCCTACACCGTTGAATTTTTTCAACTTATTGTACTGCACCTCTCGCGCAATATAATTTCAACCTTGATACTTACGAATCAAGGTTCAATGTTGTATGCTTTGAAGCTTAAGTGAATCTGAAGATAAAATTACAAAGTTATAACGTTTGAAAAATTTAATGTTATTGCATATGATGGCACTATATAATTTAAACATCTATTAATTTAAATAATATAGCATTTGAATAATCTATCATTTTTCAAAGAGTTATGGTAGAACGCTTTTTTTCTGAAAATCAGTGTTGTAGCATAATAAACGAAACGTGCTGCAACTTATGCTGACGTAAGACCCTTTTGGCATCATTTTTAACAAAATTTAATTTAATATTGTAGTATTTTTATTTTTTATTGTAATTACATTTATTTTTATTACGTCTAATGATTGTACAAAATGAATGCTAAATAAAGTGATTTTTATTATTTTAAAAATATATATTTAAGTAACTTAAACTGAATTACATTAATTTACATAACTAAAGATTTTTTTAAGTTAGAAGCTGCTCTCTTCAAATGGTTGGCGTTGGTTTTCCTCCTTGAGGGCCCTTTCCCCCGGAATAGTTAGAGCGTCATGCGACACCATCCTTAATTGTTATCGCGTCCGGTCGCAGCCGATATTGTACGGCGAATAGTTCGCCTTTAGCGTTTTTGCTTTATTAGGCCAAACGGTCCGCGCCAAACCTACACAAGAAAGAGGGCAGGCGAGATAAATAGTTTCTTTTTATATTGCGAGCAAGTAATACGGGCAAAGATTAAGTTTTTAAATATAATTGTTTTGATTATTGAAATATTTTTCTCTGCGGTTGGTTGTCTATAATCTGTGATATGGATGAATGACACTATAGTAGCCATTAAAAGTATATATCTATAGTCTGTTATGTCATTTGTCAATAACAAATATTCCATGTGAAACGAATCAAAACAAAGGCACATGGTGTTATAAAAATTTAATATTGTAGCAAATATTATGTATTAATAATATCTCATATTTGTAACGCTTCACATTAGCATATTGTAATAATTTTTATATTATTTATTTTACAATGGGAAAAAGAAAGTATAACGATGATACGAGGGATTCGCCAAAAAGACTTAAAAAAGCAAATGCTAAAGAATGCAACGAAGAAAATGAAGAATTACACAGTGGGAAGACACTGTCTTTTGATATTAAACATTTTCGGAAAGAATTAGCAGAAAAACAGGGACAAATCATGGGTAAGATTCCCTTGTAATAAATCATGTTCAAATTATTTTTTATTACTTATCCGATTCGTCGTCAATAAAATTCGAAATCATTTTGTCTTGATTAAACATTTCTCGGTTCTAAGGCCTAAGTTTCATTTATAAGAAAAAAATAATTTGAGGTTATTTTTATTTATTATAAAGCTTACATTTTTTAAGAATCTGTACAGTAAAGTCCTCGGTTAAGTAGGAATAATTCTAAAGTGTTAACCCAAACCTGTTTCAGTAGTATATTTTTTAGGCATCACACATTTTTAGTTACTCATCAACATCTAAAAATCATTACTTTTTCAATTTCAGCCTTAACACAATTTCTACAAGTTTGCCTGAATCCAGATAGTGAAATAGACTATTTAGCAGAGTACCTAAGAATTGGTGGCAACTCTCATGAAATCTTACGACAAATAACTGCAGAGAATAGGAAAAATTTGCCTTTGGCCACACCAGCATTTCATATTTTCCACCTTATTATTCTAAAGGTTCAATCATCAATGCCACATATGATAGCAATCACTGAAGAAGCATCCCGTTATTTTCTGAATACCTTCATTCCAACTATTGAGATCATGATTAGTGAAAATTCAGGACCTAGACATAGGAAAATAATAATAAATTTACTTACATCTATGGTAACGCTCAGTGCAGACTTAGGTGTTGAAGTTTTGAATCAAGTACCCCTGACACCTAAACATTTACAATACATAGTTGAAAAGCCAAATTACAAAGAAAAAGACAATGTGCGCACTGCATTTGTACACTTTATAACTTCTTTTCTTGTTGAAGGCAATTTTCCACTAATCAAAGCTTTATTAGAGAAGCAAGGTCTTCTGCCCTTAGTTATACCAGGACTGGTACAAGATGAATCGGAAGCCGTGATCATGTTCTTAAACATATTGAAAAAGAATGTAATAGAAAATAATTTGATATCAAAAACATTAAAATTAAAAACATTCAATCATCAGGCTCTTCACAACTTATTTAAGGTGTTCAATTGGAAGGGTCCTCCAGAGTTAAGCAATGAAGCAAGAAATGAGGCGAGGCCTGACATTTTAGCTTTGGTTTCCAATATCATTTTAACTTTGTTCACATCACACAAAGTTGGTCTATATTTTGTAGATCCATATTTTGGTACTGGTGACACTAACAAGAATCAACATCTCTACAAAGCAGTACTTAGTTTAAAACGGCCATGGGAGAATAGTTATGAGTGTGATACTATCTTGAACATTATTCTTATGTGTCCAGATTTACATAGAGCAGTTATTCATGTGATCGAAACAAGTTTTCAACCTCAACATTCTCCTATATGGGAGAGAGCCACTGAGTTTACCATTAAGCTCTTAGACAAATTAAAAGCTGAAGATATGTTGCCAAGGCTGCTGAAACTAAATACAATGCAAACTGTTAATTTTATTAGATTTGTAACCCTCCCTGTGCCTCTGTTGAAGCTTATGCATGCAAATATTGGAGCAGACAAAACAATATCCTTATATTGTGCTAAAGTATTAGTGAAAATGTTATCATCACTTAAGAAGTATATGTCTATACTTGGTTTGGAAGAGTCAGATGCAATGCTGGTTGAATTAAAAAGTAAACTGGAGTATTTCCTTCCAAAGCATGTGCCAGCACCGAGCGTGATAGTTTCTCTTATAGATGATGTAACCAGTGGAAATAAGATGACTGAATCATCTCAAGATTATAAACTTCCGGAGATAGACACAAGTGACTCACTGCTCATTTTGATTGAACTATTATTGTTGTATAATACAACATATCCCTCATGTTTTCAATCCCTAGAGAGTGACATTGATATGAAAGCTATTCTGGATTTTACCAAAACAATAACCTCAGGACAGATGTCACTTTTGAAATTCAAAACAGTTTTACTTTGGCAAACTCTGGATCAATCTGTGCTTTCATTGAAAAATCCTCTGTTTAAAAGTTTATTCCTTATAATGTTAGAAGTTTTTACAAGCGTGGATGATGATACTTGGATAGAAGCTAAGGACACATTATATGATTTTCTTAAAAATACGGAAATCTATGAAACGGATGAGGACGAAATACATCTGATGTTGTACACCTTGAGGAATGCTAAAGTAGAACCAATATCGTTAGTCGCAGACATTGTAGAATATGTTTTACTTAATAAAAAGGAACTAATAGACTATATGCGCACCCAGATGTCTAATTTTGAGATTAAAGATGAAAGTAATGAATCCAATTTAGATCAATTATTTAATGATCTAATGAATAATAAAAATTCCGGTGAAAATATGTTTTTGGAGAATAAAATGCCGTCACCGTTTATAGTTGGATGCATTCAGTATATTCAAGGAAATAAGGAAGCAAAAAAGAGCCTAAAAAGCTTTCTGTCTTTATATATCTCTCACTTATTGCATTCAAACTACTCACCAGAATTATCTGAGGTACTAATTGGAGATTCAAAATTAGATGTTAGAGGATATGTTACTGCTTCTATGTCAAACCTGGTCACTTTAACAGGTACCCCAGTAGAAGATGATATTCTTTTAAAAATTTCAGACACAATTATAAATAATGCTGATTTTGAAAATATATTAACACCAATAGAAGATGGTTCTGAAGACAAAAACAATATAATCATAGACAACAAATATTACAAAATAACAATTAAAAAATTTGTAGATGGTTCCGAATTGATAATATGGTCTAAATATTTAATGTTTTGCATTGTCAGGCTATCAGAATTTGACCAGTTGACCGAAGAAAGAAGTAAGAAAATTTTGGTACTTTTAAATGTTATTTTCAGTCTTGGAAAGAAGCTGCATTTAATAGGTATATACAGAAGTATTGTGTTAAATTTGTTTAAAAATGCAAATATTTTAAAAATTTATAGAGCTATTGATACAAGCAAGAGTTCCTACATAATTGCAACTGATTTGATGCTCCAGATTATTACGCAGAACAAGGAAACTATGTCTTATTTAGATAAAAAGCATTTTCTACTTAAATCTTATCGAATCAAAACATATAATGAGCTAATGAAAGCCTTTATAAAGATCAGTAAAAGAAAAAATGTTAACTGTGATCATACAATCAAGGTATTAGAAACTGTTGGCCTGTCTAAAGATGACGATGTTAGAATTTTAAAAAGTATTCTGAGCACACAAGTAGAATCGTGTATGAGAGATGACAAAGAACCTAGCCTTGTTTTAGAAGTATTAAAAGTTATAATTGACAAATATTCTTCGACTGCAACACTGGAGCTACATACAGATATCGTACATCAAATCATAGAATTATATTGCAACATACTGACATATAAGGATGTAACTGCAAATTTGACTAACCTCGAGATATCACTTACTAACTACTTTGTCAACAAACCCCATCAAGTGATATGCATCAAGGAGGACCACTTTCGAAGGTTCTTCCAAGCTAATACATTAAGAAAGACAACAACAAATTTGGCCGCAACAATGCTAAAGTTAAACGCAAAGTTGTTTGCAGTATTTGAAGAAGAAGCAAACAGACCAGAAATATTAAGTCAGCGTGAACTTACGTTGCCTCTCGGAAACGCAGTTTTAGATCACATCGACCAACTAAGCAGCGGTCAGGACTTCTTAGGGAAACTGTATGAAGAATACAAAACGAACATACACAAGTATTTAGAGAAACCTCACAAAGCTGGCCAAGTGTACGTAAACGGGTGGCGATTGTTAAAAAAACTAATAATCGAATTTATGCCTGTAGCCGATTGCCAAAAGCTATTGTCAAAGATACATAAGTTTGAAATTTTAGATAGGAATCACATTATACTGTTTCAAAATGTTTTATTCAAGATATATGTAAACCGACATGAGGAGAAGGTTGAGTATTTCTGCAACTACATTTCATCTATAATGCATCTGGTATTATCGTGCGTTAAAGAGGAAAAACTCGACAGTTTAGAAGAAGCAATTTCTATTACATACAAGTCGATGCAGATCATAAAGATTAAAGAGTTAAATGACACCAAAGGCGATTACAAGAAAGTCATAGATAGCGCTACCTGGAAGAACTTTTGTAAGGTTATTTTGAAAAACGCTTTGCGAATTGAAACTGCGGATGAAAATAATACCATTGGTCCTAAAATGTTGTGTCTTTTGACACTTTTAATCGAAGTGCTATATAGTAAGGATCACGAAGACATTATCGCTTTATTCGACATGGTGACATCTCATTCGGAATTCCTAAACGTTATGTTGAGCTACCACAGCTTAGATATGAAAGCGAGGCTGCTGCAGTTTCTTCTCTGTTTAATAACATTAAATAACACTGTTATGAAACCTCAACAAATACCTGTATTCTTGAGTGCGTACCACGCGACAACGAGCGCTAGTGATAGATTAATTCTATCAATTTTGGAGTATTACGAGTCCAGTGGATTACCCGTGAACGAGTACAAGCCCTACATATGGGGAGACACAGCTGCCAACTACTATGCTGTACGAAAGAAGCGTTCTGCGTCTCTTTGGAGCCATCCTACGCCAAACCAAGTTCTGAATTTGTTTGATAGAGAAATCGTTGAAAAATCAATCAGGAATTTTCCCGTTAACCAAAAGCTGGACTATCGTTTTGTTCTGCCTAGCTCTTGTGAGTCTCTTACGAGTGAAACGATGAAAACCTTCATGGAGGAGGCGCTTCAAGTGAAAATGAAAGTTAGAAAGCGTCGGGATAATGAATCCGCACTCGAAGAAATACTTTCTCATGAGAAACGGGAAGCATTATTAAAGAAATATATAAATGTCGATATGCTTACAACGTCACATAGAGATGATGGTGGTGTGATTTATGACCCAGCATTCATTCTTCCTTTGTTAAGCCACTTGCTCGCTCCGGGTTCTATGGCTTCGTGTTTCAAGGTCATGAGAACGGGTCTTCTCTCAGTAACTGTGATGGGACTGAGCTCCAATTGCCCAATGATGCGGGCAGCTGCATATCACGTCTTGCATCGGTACTGCTTACTTCTGGAATTGGAGACGTAAGTTTCATTTAGCTCTACATTGTGTTAGAATTACTTTGTTTTGTTTATTTTTACATATTCAGTCTTGAAACCTTTCTCTTTACTTTCAGGAGGCACAAAAATGATAAGTTGCTGCTAACAGACTTTATCACTACGTTGAAACAAAGTTTGAGATCAGCTGTAGTAGACCCCACAGAAGACGCTATATTTGGAGCTCTGAAGAACCCTAGACTACCGGTGGTCGGTGCCCTTTACCTAGCTTCAGCATTGACCGTTTGTACGGCGCCGTCAGATCCGATGTACTCACCAGTCAACAATTTCTTAATAGCTAAACAATTTGTAGACTTCACGGTAGTTCCCGATTTCCTGAGTTTATTCCACGATAACGAAGTCGAAACCCTTGACAGGAGGCTTTGGATTCTAGACATAATCGCTTGCGGCACCAGATCTATGACTGATGTTAACGTGGTTTTTAAAACCATGTGTCTGAAAATGGTGATGGACTTCTTTACGACAGTATTGTGCGATAGGAGGACTAAAGTCAGCATTTTAAATCTGATGACTTCGTTAGTGGCGATACCGAAAGCGTTCAAAATTTTGGTAGAAGGTTATAGTTTTCTATCTTGGATGCATTCGATTATACGCTATATAGGTAAGGACGATAAGACCGTTATACAGACTACCCTCAAATTGTTGCAAACGATAGTAATTAGTATGAACGTGCCAAATGTTCAGCACAATAAAATTAACGATGCGAAAAGTAGAGTCAACGCGGAGCACGATGTTTTGAGTGTTATTTGCGAATTGTTACATAATATTGACGCGTTTGATTCCGATGAGGTCACGATGTATATTAAACTTTATAACTTATTAAGTAAAAGCGCTATTAAGTCCTTACATAAGCGTCAATTTGTAAACATAATTAGCAAATCCAGTGAAAGCCTTAAAGAAAAAGACAGTGTACAGGTTATATTACAAGCGGCGAACGCGGGAAATTCGCAATTGTTAAAGAGTAACATTATTAAGAACGATACAAATTGTTTGGTGAGAGAGCTACATAGGCTTACTGTGAGCCATTTAGCTTAAAAATATTGTTATGTTATTATGCAATTGGATATTAAATATGTATAATTATGGATTCTTGTTTCAATAGTATTCTATTTTTTTGTTGTATAAAACATACATTCTTTTGGCCACGTTGGTCTAGACTCCAGAGTCTAGGGGTTAGAAAAAGAAAGAAAGAATGAAGTAATTAATATATAGTGCCTTCATGTGCAACATGTGAAAATATTGTAGTTTTCAAAAGAATGAAGTACTCCCGATTGCAAATTACAAAAATCCAAGATGTAAATAAGATTTAAGGGTACGTATTGACAGAAAAAGCGACTTTGTTTTATACTATGTAGTGGTATAGCAAGAAATAAAATAAAGTGACGAACTGAAACTACTGTTACTTTTAATTTAAACTCGAATAAATTACTAACATTTAGCTCAAGAATGGGACAGGTTTAGGAGCGATAAATAAAATCGTACACCGAGGTATAATTTCCTTGTCAACACTGTTATCAAGATTGTTGCAAGCAAATAAATTACTTATTGATGTTCACCAACAGAAATTCGTCGTAAGTGGTATCAAATTGCATAGCGATCGCAGTAAGAAATGGATTTGAGGGAGAAGATGAACGTAGAATGCCTGTAGCAACTTGATAAATTAACAAACATATGCCGTTAAGTGTACTTTATATTATACTAGCTGTGCAAGCGACTTTGTCCGCGTGGTTCAGTTATTTCGAGCATCAAATTTTGTTTTTGCAAACCTCCTCCTTATCTTTATAAATGACGTCGTCCGCGTCCCTTCGTTCTTGCATGTTAATTTCAAAAGACAGACATACAGTCGTGGACTTTTTTAGTTTTTTTGGTTAGAGCAACAACACGGAACTGAGGGTGCCGGTTCTAGTCTTGTCGGAGTCGTAATTTTTTAAATTTTTAATTTATCAATTTTTAAATCATACAGTACCATCGTGTGCAATAACATGTGAACAATATTAATGTTTTCAATTTATTTTTAAACAAATTGGCAAGAGCCAGGTGGGATTAAAGTAGATATTTGCTTCCATCACTTACTACCATTTATTATTACCGTTATATAATTAACCACCATTAAAACAAATATAATCAAGTCAGTAGTAATTTATTTTTAATTTAATTAATCGTACTTTTTCATCATATAAATCTGAAAATGATTATTTAATTCGAACAGAGCTAAATACATGTTTTAACCAGATCTAGAGCTTAGTTGAAAGAAGTCATTACTCTAAGATAATGTTAGGATCATAGATATAATCTATAAAACGTAAATGTAGTTTTATCACGATCCCAGTTCGAAGATCACGAAGCTAGATCGAGTTTCACGAACCAGTTCAAAAATATTATCGGGTTTTTGGGATTGATAAAATTTTAAGTGTTACTAAGGAGTCAATAGTTTTAGCATAAACCTTCTTAGTCATTTATAATAAAAACATTTCCAATGTTAACATCATCAAATTTACTATTTTGAAATTCAACGACGAGACAACATGTTTCAGAGAAATTATAAATTGATTAGATACATGCTGGACCCGGTGGGAATCGAACTCCAAACCCGTTATAAGTCCTACTATGCTATATATTATACTAACGACCCCGTCAAACTAAAACGATTGTAATCTATAATAATATGCATATAAAAGAAAAGTGACCACGGCTGCTGCAAAACATCCGAAACGTCGGGTCGATGTTAGAAATCATTTTCAAATAAGTTTAACTAATATATCGCGTTTTAAACCGTTAAAGTGTTTTACTTAAATTTATAATATCTTGCCTTCCTGTTCTTGTTAGAATATTTATCAAGGAAGGCTTTAGGCTATAAAACATCGCTGTGACTTATAGGAGCGAAGAAAGAGCGGGAAATGTCAAAAAAACTGAGAAAATTATTCATCCTTGTGGGTTTCCTTTGTGTACGCTGCGAATATGACTATCTTGTAAGATTAACTTGCAAGAACGACGGGACGCGGACGACGTCGTGGGTAACAGCTTACAGCTATAGAGTTGAACTGCAACTTGGTTTGCAAAAACAAAAATTGATACCCAAAATAACTATTCAACACGTGCGAAGTCGCTTGACTCAGCTAGTTATGCGCGAGTGTAAAATTAGTTCTTTACTTAACACGGCACTAATCTCTTTCCCTGCCTTGCTGTATCAAAGCTAAAGACATTTCTTCTCTTATCTCAAGTGGGAATATTATGAAATATCGTATGTACTTAATCGCATTGGTACGCGTCGGGTCGATGTATTTCACACTTCTTCACTGGATTATCGCCACACTTCGAAGGCTGTCAGCTTATCGATAAAAATGTACGGCTCTGAAAAGAGCGAGTAAAAAGTTATATTTTTTTGTGATAGAGGAGACCAGACAGGCATGGGGTTTGCTTGATGGTAAGTGATATACTCCAGTCTATAGCATCTAAACAAGATGCGCTGTTACCCTATTTTGACTTTGGATATTCGGAAATCCACAGACTGAAACCGAAACGCGATTTAGCTTCACGGCTTTTTCATTTGTGGACAGTGGTTTTCTATATTCCTACAACCCATTTTCCAGATCTTCATACGAAATCAACATGTTTCAGAACAAATATAAATTGAAAAATTTGAAACATGTTGGTCCCGGTGGGGATCGAACCCGCGGCCCGTTGATTATTAGCCGTACATTGCAACCATTACACCAACGAGCCGGTCAAAACACACAAGACACTTCCTTAAACTAAGATCAATCTTGCGTATTTAAATAAAACACTTTAACGGTTTAAAACACGATATACATGTTAGTTAAACTTATTTGAAAATGATTTTTAACTTCGGCCCGACGTTTCGGATGCTTTGCAGCAGCCGTGGTCTCCCCGTTAAAGTGTTTTATTTAAATGTGTACTACTCGCGTAAACTATAGACAGTATTTAATCTTGCATATAATAAAAAATGTTTGAAATCTTGCTCCCAAACAACAACACGAAGCAGCACGAAACGCTGTGGATGCCGGTTCAAGTCCTGCCCGTGTCGTGTATTTTTTGTAAAATCGTTCGTTTTCTGGCCCACGGCGCCCAAGTGTCATATGACTCCAAGATACGGACCGCGAACCGTAAACACCGAGGCAAAAACCGCACTTTTGTTTCTCATTTTTCACTCACCATATTGGGAACAAGTGTAATCGATTCAGGTGATAGTATATGTACTTAAAACATAAAATTTTATTTGAGAGATATTTAGAGAAACTAGTTGTCAAATCTTTACTAAGAATAAAGCTTGCAGGTTGTTGAGCAATTATCGAGAAAAGCTTAAGGCTATACAATATCAGGCTGCGACTAATGGGAGCGAAGAAACAGAGGGAAATGTGGAAGAAGGATGAGGATTTCCGTGCGCTGCTAAAACGATTCCAGATATCCAAAATCACACAAATACTGTCTATAGTTTACGCGAGTAGTACACATTTAAATAAAACACTTTAGCGGTATAAAACGCGATATATTTGTTAAACTTATTTGGAAATGATTTTTAACTTTGGCCCGACGTTTCGGATGCTTTGCAGCAGCCGTGGTCACGGGAAGACTAAAGATGGAGGATGTCTATGACGTCAAAGTAAAAAATTGCTGTTTATCGGGATCCAGAGTTTTTAATATGGGATCCCAGGTGTTTGAAAATTTGTGTGCAGAGGACTATAGGTAATATGGGACGTAAATTCCGATGTTGTAGAAGAGATGAGCAAACAATGTGATTATTTAATAAGTTGTGAAGGTATATTAACAGTGCACCATTTCTACGTACCTCTAGTGATTGGAATTATTATTTCTCTTAAAATTTTCAAAAATTTCTCTTTAAATGATCTAAAAAAATATTCACGACAGTAAACCGTTTTTTTGGTAATCAAATTTTGGTCGAAATACTTGATAGGGCAAACGAACCTTTGCCAGGTCAGCTCGTACATAAATAATGATAAATAAATTACGACAAAACAGGTGGCGCTAGCTGCTTGGACTTTGACATTAGGCACACCCTCCATCTTAAGCATCCGAAACGTCGCGTCGTAGTTTAATTACATTACAAATAAGTTAACTAATATATTTCGCGTTCTAAACCGTTAAAAGCTTCTTATTCTGTAAATATGAATGGCATTTTATCTTTTAATATTCTCATAAAATTGAAAAGCTCCATAAACTGAAGTTCACGTACAAATTATAGGCATCTTGTTAATGAATTTTACGATACCTCGGAAGATGTATGTCGTAAATCATGGTTCGATGAATTTTTTAACAAGTAGTAGCTTGATAGCCGGCTGTTTTATTACTGGAATAATTCGCGTTTCTGTGAAGTTTTAACAACTTGAAAAATCTTTTGTATTCTCTCTTGTCAATAGATAAATGACGCAGGTGTAATGTCAATAAAATTTTTAGCGGTTTAAGACTAGAAGCTGTCTATAAGTTAGTCGTCTAAGTAAAAAAAACGTCCCCCGTCGGAAACGTCGAAACGTTGTTATAACTTCCGTAGTATATTTCGCGTTTTAAACCTTTAAAAACTGCACTATTTGCGTATACTACAAACCATGCATAGAATGTCTTAACATAAAACGCCCATCCTGCGTTTGAGATTCGAAACATTTTTTTTTTTATATATTTTAACTACCGCCCGAAGCGATGTTTTGTATGGTTTGCAGGTTGCAGCTGCAACTGATCACGGGGGACCAACAGAAAAATAAGTTAAGTAATATATTTTGGGTTTAAAACAGTTCAATGTATTTTATTTTTTATACTCCGTATGTTAAGTTATCATCCCTCTTTATGTTCGGTTTTCCTTATGCCGTCGAGGTATATCGCAAAAACTATTGCTATGATCTCTTTTCTCAAGTGAAGTATCAATATTTACTACTGCTTCGTTACATAAATAAGTATCACATAAACCCAACGTTCTATAAAATAAATTTAAAATACAAATAAGATGTAATTTAGGCTGTCTACTGACGAAACCTTAATGATGTTTATTAAACGATTTTTTTACG